CTCTCTCTCTCTCTTTCTTGCTCTCTTCCCCTCTCTCCTCTCTCTTGTCCTCTATCTCTCTCTCTCTCTTTCTCTCTCTCTCTCTCATCATCTCTCATTTTTGTTCAGTCATTTTCTCACTCGGGCCATTTCTAATCCACCCACACATCACTATCGTCTACTTATCTTTAGATAATATAAAAACACTTTTTGTAGATGAAGGGAAATTTTTAAATATTGATATCTTCATATAATTTTTTAGCAACTCAGCATCATGGTTTAAATGAAAATATTCCAATAAAAAAGATATTTTGTGTAGAAGCAGCGCAAAAATTTAAATAAATGATTCTGAACTTCAATGAAGAAAATTCAGCCTAGAAAATCTCCAATACTGAAATAAATATTCAGTAGATGCTCACCCACTTTTTTTTAGTATATATGCCGATTGATATCACTCTCATAAATATTACGAGATAAAAAGTTAGATGTATACCCTTAAAGATACTACATGTATGTCCCTTTTGCAGCCAACCTCAAATTCTGTAGAACTTTGCAGGAATTATGAATATGTCGTGTATGTCCTATCTGTGAAATTTACACGTTAGCAGTGTCCTAATATTCAAGGAAACCCGTTTACTTGCTAGACTTCACTGTCAGACACTATTGTCAGTATTGAGTAACTGGCTGGCTTTTTGCTTCTTCTTTAATAACATACATGTACATAAAATGAGCTGTAAAGGATTTGTCTACATCAATAACCCACTTCTTGTAATGGCCAAAATGAAACGGATTAAATCTTTGCTCAGCATAAAACGTAGGACCATGCCGTACAATAGTCTGAAAATCAAGACTATTACTTATTGGCTCTATAGCTCCTAAGTCGATTTGACAAATAATAGTCATTATTTTCCCACTTAAAGACATTTTCAAGCCCCCTTTTTTTAAGGGGAGTTCTAAATTAGTATTATCTTTCAAATGCCATTGGAATCTAACCTTTTCAATTTTTGGGCCTGCAAAAGGGACATAGTACCTTTAAGAAGTTCTTCTGCTACCAGTGTCCTCATAAGCAGGCACAAGTTCAAGGCTTGTTCAATTATTTCCTCTCGAACCCGGCTGAACGCGACCACAAGTCCTGGGCCTGGGATCCCCTTTCAGAAATAAATTGAAATTCAGATGGCATGTTAGGACAGCTTGCAGACATATGGTTGGTGGCTGAGCGGAACGAGATGGGGATGAGATGGGAGAATGAGCGGGGCGAGTAAACCGGTTACTTGGGGACCAGAAACGAGTGGGAAGTGGGAAGTAAACTTTTAAGGAGGGGTGGTAATTGGAATGAGAGGGGAACAGGAAGGGCTAGTAAACTGGTTACGTATATGGGCCAGAAACTACCGATCTAAGGATGGATGGTGTTGGAAGTGATGGTATTGGTAATAAGAGGGCTGAGTTATACCATTACCGGTAACCTTAGGACCAAAATACCAGGGTACAGTGAGAAATGGGTTGTGCACTACCGGTAGTTAGAAAGAGTTGGATAAAGGTGGCATGGGAGGAGCGAATGTAAGCCTGTCACTTTGGAATCAAGTGAAGGATTGAAAATCTTTTACTAGAAGGTGAAATTAATTGAAATGGGGAATGCAAGGGCAAAGAAGTCAAAACCAGTCATTTTGGAACCAGAGGGGAATGAGAAGTACAAAGTGTTTGGTATTAATAGGGCAAGTAAACCTTTCAAAATATAGAATTAGATAAACAGGAGAGGTGTACCCTCATCATCATCATCATGTGACGGCCGCAGCTGAGATGGAGTTCACTCTTGTACGCCACTCGCTTGTATCACATGCTATGTTAATGGTGTACAGTATAATAGGGAACTAAGAGGATGAAATAAACCAGTTCCTTTGAAGACCAAATTCAAGAGTATGAGAGATATATATTTAAATGGTATTGGTGGGAAAAGGTGGTTATAGATAAAAGGATTGAATTCATGAAATTAATAATATTAGGGCAGGTTGGCTTTTACGGCCTTCTTGCAGCAAAAGGTGAAGAATGGGAAACGATGATGTAGTATATGGACTCTTATCATCTTCTAAAATCATAATCTCCTACCACTTTCATTTTTTTTTTCAACCAGAAAGATATTTTTATGTGGAGGGGAGCTTGTACATGTACATGTAGGCAGTGGAATACAGAATTATTCATTTTTAAAGCCTCGCAGTCCACCTAGAATTATTTTGCACTATTGGAGCAATCGACTGATGGCTTTTTATCAAGATTCAAGCAGTCGATTTGAAAGCTTGCCTAGCAACTCCGTGGTTACAAACCTCAAATCAATCTACATCTTAAATTCCGATATTAATTCTCTCGTATACCTGATGATTATCAGCATCTGTTCTCATCGATTAAAAGTTGATACTATCTGTCCTGTGGGCAATTATCTCAGGATTTCAAGTCGATTACGAGAGGATTACGTCGATCTCCTTCCATCGATATAGGTCATGCGGGTAAACAACTTCCTTTTACACTGGGGTGCTCGTAGGAAAGTCTGAAAGGGAATTTTCCAGTCGAAAGACGATATGCTTTCATCACTATGGCAGTAGGTGAATGATTTGAATAGTACCATTGGCTGAATTCTGCATCAGTACGTATGAAAGGATGAAGATGGGTCAAGTTGTATTATATTGGGGTCAGAGAGGAAGGGAAATGTCTTATTCCTATTTTTGGGTCATCTTGAAGTTATATTTCTGTACTACTGATCTCCTTTGAGTCTTTTCTTACAGCCCGAGCAGATAATGATTGAATATACCTTTGATATTTCAGGGAAGGTGTACTTTTTATTAATCATTGCACCGTAGACCGTACATACCAGTAGGCCTGTGTGTTTTCAACATTTTCATACGAGAATATATCTCCTAAAATTCTTTTGAGTGGATGATTTCATTTGATGTGATCATCAGTTATGATTTTGTTATTGTGTGAATGATGAGGCATGTATGTGGTACATGTGAAGAGATATGAAGACCAGAATGAAAACAAATCAACGTAATATTTGCACCTCAAAATGGCGTATGATCTTGAATCTTGAATCTTGAATTTGTTGCAGCTAAAAGCTTTGTCGACAGCTGCCCAGAGTAGAGACTGCTGTCCAATGTGGATTGTGTTATACCTCAATAATGTTCTGAACATCTGTAATAATTATGTGAATTTCATTATACTGCTTTCATAATTGTTCTTTAAGTTATGAATATGACTACTAGAAATGCGTTATTATGACTTTGTTGCAGTAAAATTTTTAGAATTGATTACTGGATCAGTGAATTCATAATTAAAAATAAGTTATATTATAGTATGTTTATGGGGGAAGCAGGAAAATTCTACAGAAAGAACATTTACCCTGGTGACCAGAATGAAAACAAATCAATGTAATATTTGCTCCTCAAATGGCGTATGATCTTGAATCTTGAATCTTGAATTTGTTGGAGCTAAAAGCTTTCTCGATACCTTTCCAGAATGGAGATTGCTGGCCAATGTGGATTGTGTTATACCACAATGATATGTTGAACACTAATATGTGAATTTTATAATACTGATCTCATAAAGATTTGTAATTGTTGTGAATATGATAACTAGAAATATTTGTTATGGATTTATTGCAGTAAAATTGTGAGAATTGATTACTGGTTCAGTGAATTAGTCATTAAAAATCATTTAGTGTTGTGAATATAATAACTAGAAATATTTATTATGGCTTTATTGCAGTAAAATAGTGAGAATTGATTACTTGATCAGTGAATTAGTAATTAAATATTAGTTATGTTACAGTGTGTATATGGGGCAAGCAGGGAAATTCTACAAAAAGAACATTTATCCTGGTGTAATTCCATAAGGGTTAGGAAGAGGCGTTCAGAGAGAGGGTTGAAAAGACCCCTCATCCATACTCATGGAGCCGGCTCTACCCCTTGTTTGACCCCCGATGACCCCTCCTTCCTGGAGCTGTTTGATTAATAAACACCAGTGGTCATTTGTCCACACACGTCTGTTTGACTTGTGACTGCAATTTGTCCTAGGCTTGACATGTTTTGGGGGGATGTTGAATGCAGCAGCAACAATCCATCCATTCTTACCCATGTTGATCTACAAATCCCTCAAGTAATTGATGGCATTTTTTTGGTCAATGTTATAAGCTACTGTCAAAGGGTGAGGTCCTTTCCCCCCTTTGTACTTTCCAGGAGTCTCAAACTGTTTGGGCGGTGAGTAATGAAGGGGAGTGGGCTTCACGACCAACTTCAAAAGTTAGAATCACATCGAGAAATGATTAGTGATGAATAAAGTTGTACCCTTCCCTTTCTAATGCCTAAACTCATAAATTAACGACACATTTAGCCAAATTAAAGCAATGGTCTGTCAGTTGCTTTTTTATTGGCCAGGCTTTTCCTTCCATCTTCACAATCAAAGATGGAGGCCTAAGAATTAGCCTTGCAAAGGCCACTACTATTTGTTTGTATATTGGTATTATGTGGCAGATCAATTTACTATACTGTGTCTACACTGCATGTATATGTAGAAGTTGCGGATGTTTCTACCCAGACCAAGAAAACTGTTGTTGATTTTACCCGTCCATAGCATTTCTTGCTCGAATTCGCCCTGCACAAATTAGGTGTTGCAATGTCAGGCAAGCATCTGGCAAGCTGTCAGATTATAAAAGAACAAGTTTTGTGAAAGACACCATCATACAATCAAACTTGTGTATTATTTCATCTACAAAATACATGTACAGTCCAACCTGTTTTAGTGACCACCTGCCTACAAAGACCACATTTTTTGTTTCCCTTGAAAATGGTTTCTCATTGAAACATGTACTAAGGGAAACTGTCTACAAAGACCGCTTTTTGTGTTCCCTTGGACGGTCGCTATAGACAGTTTGACTGTATTTAAGTGTGTCTTTTTCTGTGTTGAAAAACCCCCAAAATAACTATATATTATTCTAAACAATTTCCCTCTTTCTCGTCTTATTTTTCTTGCTGCAGGTGCATTTGGTCGAGGTGGTGGTCGAGGAGGAGGACGAGGCGATGGCAAGAGGGGAGGAAGAGGAGGACCACCAAAGTCATAGCATATCGTCAACGTCGTCATTCTTTAGTTCATTCTTTAGTGTAGCTAACTTCTGAACCATACCTTTAAGCCCTGTATACCCCCAGTCACATTCTACAAGACTGACACCAGACCAACAATTGACAGAACAAAGAACATTTACATTAATCTGAAAGGTCCAAATAAGGTCCATTTACACTCCTGGGGGGTGTTTCACAAAGATCCTCAGTAGAACTTATCTCTAAGTTGGACTTAAAAGTTATGGAAAGCCATTAGCATCTTTGAAAATATTTTGTAAAAGTTATTTTAAAAGGCATAAAATACTGATTCAAATCATAAATATGTTCTATTTTCAAGGAGATGACATGTTCTTGATGTGGAATGAATGAGAAGTCTAAAATACTTAAATTTTTGCTTTTTAATATATTTTATTTTAAGGCTACAAATGGCTCTCTATAATATTTAAGTCCAACTTAGAGTAAAGTTGGACTTAGGATCTTTGTGAAACACCCCCCTGGAGTGGAATAACTCATAAAAAGTTGGAGTTTGATAATTTTTTGTTTTTTAAGGTTGGTTATTCATGCACATGCGCAACTCGCTGTGCATGCAATAGCACGGAAGTGAGGAGATTCATGTGACCAAAAACTGGCTGAGTTTCAGCCATAAATTTTTTTTTTTCTAAAGGAGGGTTTTTTCCAATTCAAGTTTTGAGTCACATTTACATGTATAGTTAGTTGCTTATCAACTACAGACGAGACTCCGGAATGAGAAAAAATATATATTGTTTTTGCTCACAGTGTAAACGTCCCTTTAGCCAAGAATAACCGGTTTTGAGTCTATTCAAGTTGGTTTGGAGTCTGTTAGGCAGTGTGACAGAGGTACCGGTATTGCATCTTTCAAACTTTCACAGTCAAAGACTCCCTCCCCAATAATTTAGCAGAGTAGTTATAACTGCCAAGTCCCAATGTAAAAGGAGCATTGCTGTATAATTCAGACATTTATATCTATTCTATAGATATTCTATAGTTTTGTAGGTATTTAAATTAACGTTTTATTTCTTTCTTGGAAACATTAGTGCAGGTCTTTTCCTTCAAATTACTCTTGATTTGCCAGTTAACTGAAAAGTCCCAATAACTGTGAGCTGCAGGAAGACTTCAGTGCTTTATTTGAAGAAGTTTAGAACGGACTTACCTACATACTTGTTTTTACTTGATTGTCTCCCTTTTTTTAATGACATGGGGTCATTAGTGAATTGAATTCATAACTGGAATTAAAGAAAAGGGTGAAAATGGTTCAAAAGATGATAACCTGCAAGTCAGAGACATTTCGTAATTTCTTTCCTTTTCCGGTAGCACCTTGCTGGGCATTTCATTTGACGCATAATTTTGATTATTTTCCAAATATGAATCATGGTATCAGAAGTATACTTGTTGTCTTTTGTAAATATATGTTTTTTGTATTAAATATAATGCAAGATCTCAAGCTATATTGTGTTTGATTTAATGTCTCCAGTAAAAATTATGATTTTTTATTTTTATTATTGAATTAAATGGAGGTACACACTGATTAATGAGTGTGGGTACTGTATGCGATACATCTCTAGTTTCACACATCAGAGAAAATCTGGACAGCTTTGTATAAAGGAGGAGATACTGAAAGGGAAGAACAGAAGGGGAAAGAATGGGAGAAAGAGGAAGAAGAGGGAGAGGAGGAGAGGGGAGAAAATGGAATTGAGAAAAGAAGAGGAAGGGAGAAATAGAATGTAGAGATACTGAAGAAAGATGAAGAAAAATAACTGAATGAAAGAGGAAGGAAAAGAGGAGGAAAGATAGCAAAAAAGGAAGAACAGGGATGATGACGGTGAAGAGAGAGAGAGAGAGAGGTTTGATTCAGGTACAGCATGTTATGGGAATAAATGATAGGATGAAAGAAGAAAAATGAGAAGAAAGAAGGAAGAGAAATATGAAGAAACAAGAACAAGAATAATGATGGTAAAGCGGGGGAGAACAAGAGAGGCTTGATTCACATATGGCATGTTATGGGAATAAATGAAAGAAGAGAAGGAGGAATAGGAAGAAAGAAGAACATGAATGATGACAGTGGAGCAGGAGAGAGAGAAAGAGACAGCTGTAATTCAGATATGGCATGTTATAGAATGTTATGGGAATAAATGTGTTTGTTTAACCTGACTGCTAAGAAAGCATTCATATGCTTGTATGTAAGCAACCAGGGGACTGACGGCTCTGAGGGACTTGATAATGACGATAAATGTCTTATCAAAGGGCATTAGCCCATTGACTTGGTTTCGAACCCGGGACCTCCTGGTTACAAGACCACTGCTCTACCACTGAGCCATCGCGCCATCATAAATGAGTGGATAAAAGAGGAAGAGAAGTACTTTTTTAAGATGGGAGGAGCAATATGAGGGCAGAAAACAAACTAGAGACTTGTCATACATTTGAATGTGACGATCTCAAAGATGAGTTTGCATTTTATTTAGTGTCCCCACATTAATATTTTACCTCTTTAATTTCTTTTATCCGGCATGCATCTTTACAAGGGAATAATTTATGACCTGTACTTGATTAAATCAATTGCCAGTTCCTCTAAAAGTTTTCACTTGACTAAAAAAAAACACAGTACGGTATACTCTGTAAACGTTTATGGAGAATCTTGACTCCCCCCCCCCCTCGAAAAGGAAAACAATGAGATACACAAGTTAACTTCAAATTTTAACACAAGAGGTATAAATTCAACATGCTCCCAGAAGATAAATATAGCTGCCCTATCCTTCCCTATCAGTTCCATTTATCTTCCCTACTATCATCTATGTGTAAAGTATACTTCTTATTCTTCTTCCTTTACAAAATCGTGAAATCGTTTTCACGATCTCGGCCAAAATCGTGTTCTCCAAATTTTGAAACTTCTAAAATTAATAATATTGTAGTCGATAATGTAGCCGATATATGATAATTGTGTGTAATTCATTTGTGTATGTGTAGTTAAATTTACTTAAGTGTAGTTAAAAGTAATTCTTAGTCCAATTTTTGGAAATTCACTTGGCGAGTTTCTTATTTTCTGCTTCCACCAAACTTGCCTTTTGATTTATATAATTATATAATTTTTTTTCAGTTGAAAATAACGTGCAACAGCGATAAATGCCGGGGAAAAAAAAAGATTTTTGCTCTCTCTCACTCTCTCTCTCTCTCTCTCTCTCTCTTATAACTCGGTCTCCTTCCTATACTGGCGTCAAGCTGCCCTTGGCTATTCTAAATAGACCCTCACATGGTCACTGCCGGTAGAAACCAAGTTGGTAATGGATAAACATGAGACTAAACAATAAAGATCGGTCTTTGTCGAAAAGGACCAATAAATAAACAATATTCAAGGCGGTGAAAGCGATTCGGACATCGGTGGCATGGTCAATGATGAGCGGGTCAAATGTCAAACAGTTCTAGTATACAACGTCATAATATCATGGGTGTAAATGAATTCATACAGCAAGATGTATCATTATTACAGGAAGACTGTTGGGCAGGACCATGTGAAATATTCTCTCTTTGAAGTCGAAGTCATGATCCCATTTGCGGGCCAAAAAGATGCAAACGTTAAATTCCAACGGCATATGAAAAGTTATACTAATTTAGAACTTCCATCAAACGAAAAGGGCTCAAAAATGTCTTTTTGTGGGAAGATAACGATCGTAATTTGACGAATCGAAAATAGCGATCGCGGTCGTTTAATTAAATAGTCTGTTTTTCATACCCTTGTACCGAATGGCCGTACGTTTTGTGCTGCGCAAAGATTCAATCAGTTTAATTTTGGCCATGACAAGAAGTGGGTTAATGCCCGGCTTATTGATGTAGACAAAATTTAATGGTCATGTACCCTTTACAGCTCATATTGTGTTCGTTATTACCAAAGAAAAAAAAATTAAGTCACTCAATAGTGTTTGACCGTGACAGTGTAGTCTAGAAAGTAAACGGGTTTCCTTAAATAATTTAAATTCTAGGACACTGCTAACGTTTGAATTTCACAGATAGGACATACGTGACATAATTATAATTCCTGCAAATTTCTACAGAAGTCGATGTTGACTGCAAAAAGGATACACTACCTTTAACGTCAAATCAAGATCAATTTCATTACATTTTGTAACAGGCGATAAATCCAAATAAGTCAGCAGATTTAATAGTACGTGATCATCAGAAAATAGGTCAAACGGCCTAAAAAAAATATGGGGGGGGGGAGGGAAAATAAAAAGAAGAAGAGGGAGGAGGTGGAGGAGAAGAAGAAGAAGAATATAGACAAGAAGAGGGAAAATAAGAAGAAGAAGAAGAAGAAGAAGAAGAAGAAGAAGAAGAAGAAGAAGAAGAAGAAGAAGAAGAAGAAGAAAGGAGGGGAGGAGGGGAGAAGAAGGAGAAAATGGAGAAAAAGAAGAATAAGAAGGAAAAGAAGAAGGCAGAGGAGGGGTAGGAGAAAACGAAGAAGAAGTTGTATTGATTTTAACGTAGAGGGCTTTAGAAATACTCAAAAATTAGTCTGGACTCGTAGAACTGTTCACACTGTTAGTTATGTTTGTGGTTTCAAGGGTTTACGATCCTCAGTCCTGCTGGTTTATGATTAGTTAATTAACAATCAGTCTAAGTGTTTTATTGCTTGTTAGTGTTCGTGTTATCTCCATGCATATTTATTCATCAATTAGTAAAGTAACCAAACATGGCTTTCAAAGACGGGCAGCTAGTCAATTAAGCGTGACAAAGAGACGACGAGAACAGCTTCTGTTCTAACAATGAACAAACAATTTTACGACGTAATGATTGCAAAATTAGGAGGAGTTACCCAATTTTAGGCGGTCGTTACGCACTTTTAGATTTAGGGGGGGGGGGGGGGATTAATGTTTCATCGATCCCAGAATCAGTGATTACAACAAATAAACTGTATACAGAATTTTCAATTAGTCCCACCTCATAATATCCCTGAGCTTTGAATGTGCTTTTTATTATTATATTGAAAAAATTTGATTTGATTTTTGTATCTATTTTTATATTTTTAAAGCAGACATAATATTTTTATTTCTATTAAACCTAAAGAATGAAGAGATTCATCATTTTTTTATGTATACATTTTTTATTTGTGTATATAAATAATGCATGAGTGAAAAGATACTATAGATAAAAATATCGCGAAGGATATTTTTTGTAGTCTAGTGCAGGAGATAATTTTGACATTTTGTCGATCGGGTACGAGTTGAATAGAGCCTATAGAGGGGTTGAAACAAAATTTAATGGGGGAGGGCAGTGATAGGGAGCTAGCGGCACGACTCGACTCGTGTAGGCCTAAAACAAGACATTTATTAAAGATAAACTTGAGTTCTGTTAATGCTATTGCATTGTGAAAGAAAACATGTGGAATGGATCAGAAAAGTTGATCATATAGCATGTAAGTAATGGTGTGTAATGCAAGGTTCTGGAGTCATCAAAATCATCATAAACTTTGGCAGAGTCTTGGTAAAGTAACAATCACTTACACAGAAATATTTATATGGGACAACATACATGGTGTCGGGGCTAGTACTACCCTGATTTCCTTATCTTTCTATGCTCATTACTCAGCCAGTATACACTTTCTTCCAAAATTGTTCGGCACATGACATTTATTTGTTATCTTGAACATTCAGTGTAAGTTTCGTTTGATTATGTGAGAATTCATTTTCTTTTTTTACCAGAACTCAAGTTTATCTTTAAGGCGTTCATATAAGGCGCCGTGCAATAGGCCTATGTGCTCCTGCCCAAGTTCCGTGTCTACCACTTTTACCAGTGTTTGAAATTTAGATGAATGACAATACGAAATATAAAAGAAAATGTCAGGAGAGAATGAAAAAAAAGAAGATGATATGCCAATTATCATCGGTCGATCGTAAGAACAAATAAACGTTGCTTTTTCACCTACTCCCAACTTTTCTTGGTACAGAATTGTGTCGGTGCCAGCAAAGGAACCCACCAAGACCTTGCATAAAGCCACAAAATGACCTTTTAGAAACACCTTGCCGAGTTTCAAATTTACACGCTTCAGCTCCATTTTGACCGAACCAAGAATGAAAATATGTGCGTGCAATATTTATTCTTCCACCGGCCCGAACTCTTCTCGTTTGTTCGCGATATTAATTCCCCGGGTGGCTTTAAAAACTCGACTGGTTATATTGCGGTCGCTAACTGCCGTGATAATTGCTTCATTATCACCTTGCTGAAAAGAAATTCAGAGAAATTGTTGTTTTCTCGCGAAAAAAAACAAACCAAAATACTATGCATGTTCACATAGGCGTGGAATTTTGGAGTATGGCTTCACTGATTGCATGTAAGTTTTGAACGCAATTTATTAGTCTTTAAAGAAAACCGTAATTTCATCAATCAGGAAATATAAAGATTCATACAATGATGTCTTAGCCAAGATATCTTAGATTTTTTTTAAAGGAGTAGAATTGTATACATTTTTGAAAAATAACTTGTATTCATCGGATTAAACGGCTGTACAGTTTTGACTATAAAGTCAAAATAAGTTATTCGCCACAATGCGCCTAAATTTATAGACTAACGAGAGCACAACAAACTCTCGTGTAGCACACGGTACAAGCGCTCAGCAGCGCAGGGATCGAGTTGACCACCACTACCAGTACCGCGGGTAAGATGACAGTTGATGCGAGAGTCATCACAGAGAACTGACTTGTTTCGCTCCGATCAAGCTTATTCCGAAAGCTTCTTCAATTTCTCCTGCTGTTGGTCGAGTCGATCTGTGATCGTCGATTTGTGAACATTACCGCTCAGTACACATGACATTCACTTGAGTCTTAAGTGAGTCATTCAACCTTCTATGGTAAAGAGTTTACTCAACAGACCAGTGGTCAACATACGGCGTTTTTGTTGTCTCGGCCAGCGAATACCACTTTTGTACGGGGAACGTTTGGCTACGCTACCACGCAAAAACTGGAATACTCGACATTAGTTTCAACGTGAAGATGATTCCTTAGTTTGAACTTTCAATTTTGTTATCCCAGGGAAAAGTCGTTTGATTTATAATATGGATAATTCAGATGAGTTATGGACTTCGTGTCGGATACCACTGCCTTCGTTTATTTCGCTAGAGTGAAATAGTTGATGACTTTTTCGACAAATCCTCCGCAGAAGTTTGTAAATCGCACAGCCGGCGGGCTCCGATTGTCAGCCTGCCATTTTGTCGCCTTGCAGCGGGTGCACTCCCCAGGAGTTCTGGCGTGAATTCACTGTTCGTGTAGTGGAGGGGACGTGTAGAGTAGTAGCCATGCTGTGGTGGGATATTGTCTCGGTTTTAGTGCTGGTTTTCTTGCCGTGGCCGAGGGGAGTTGCCTCGAACATTCAAAGCCTACGAGAGCAGCTGAACTGTCATACTCACACACAGGTTCGATTTATATTCTCATCATGATCATGTCTACTTCAGCATATTTTTTCTTTCCAAAATACCGAAAATTAGGAAAAAGTTTGACTTCGAAAAAAAGTGCAAATCAGTTAAACTGGAACTACCCTATCATGATTACTGACGAAATCATTCAAGGCCTGCAAAAATGGATTATTTTGAAATATTTAAAGAATAACATAATATTAATTTGAGAGTATGATACATGGAATGTGTTAATTACGTGTCTTATTTGTTGAGCTACGAACATTTTCTAGTTTAGGTACAAGTTTCTTTCAATTCTTATCATTTATTATATATTGACAAAACATTTGAATGGTTTGCCATCTCAAACATGTTGACAAAAAAAGAACTCATTCACCATCGGGACTCGTTTATCTTCCCCCAGAATTTTTGTTTACTGTTATGTCAAGCGATTTAATCACCTAGAGCAGCTCTATAGTTTGTAGTCTACAAATGCCCTTAAAATCTTATGTTCCGAAAAATCAATTTGCTCGTAGACCTCTACTTATTCTTGGCTCCTAAAGTCGTGATTAATTCAGCACGCCGAAATGATCCTCTTTATTCTCCCTCCTTTCTCTTATCCACTCATCCAACGATAAAAGGGTTTTTGTCCGACTTTTGTCGACGTATTTTCAAAGCTCCCTCTTTTTTCTTTTCACCCCTTCAGCACAGGTTTACCTCCTTAGTGCATTTGGGTTTTGTTTTGTTTGTGCAACCCCTTTTAACCACATCCTCGCTTGTAATTTTGGTCTGTTCCTTATACTTTAGTCTGTTCTCTTTTTTAAGGTCCGTACGTCTCTGCTATATGTAATTTAAAAAAAAAATAATAATAATTGTCTTGAGCGAAATGCTGGCCTTGCAAATTAACTGAACAAGTCAATGTTGCATTTATTAGTTTGTTCCCTTTATGTGTCGTTTATATTGTAGTTTAAATGTAATACGAAAAAGAACTATAACATGTGTCGTTTTACTTCTCGGTATTTCAATGGACCTGACCATGTTGATGCAATTCTATGCAAGAGGGTAACTAATTGCCTAACAACTCCTTGGTCAAAATAGGGCAATTTGTTTCCTTTCATACTCTGTAATTGTAACTCTCTTCTCTTCTTCACACCTCTTATTGTTTCCCCAATATGCTATTGTTTCTATGGACATGATGGATGTCAATCACCACCTTAATCGTCTAATTGACAGGTCTTTCTTTTGTTTTTTCTTTCAGGGGACCAATTCGTTTTTATGGCAAGTCAGAAGACATCCGCCTGCCTATTTCTTGGGAACAATACACGTACCATACACACGCGTTTGGGATTATATTCCTCAAAATACCAAAGTTGCTTTCCGAGAAAGCGAAAATATATTCGTCGAACTTGATCTCACAGATCCGAACACGATGACGCAGTTGGCGAACTGTCAGTTGTTGCCAAACGGAGAAAGTCTCAGCGAGGTTTTACCACACAGTATTTACAGGAGATTAAAAACTCATTTACAATATGTGAAGCGAATGATGCCGCAATGGTTGAGCGCTGATCAACGGGGTCGCGGTTTTTATGCCGACTACCTCTTCGAAGCGATCGTCGGCAACTGGGAGCGAAAAAGACCCATTTGGGTCATGCTTGTCATCGATTCGTTGACGGAAGCCGACATCAAGTCCAGAGAAATACCCGTTTTGGATTTATATTTGGCCCAGGAGGCCACAAGACTCAATAAAAGAACTGGGGCCGTGGAACAAGTTGAAGAACAGTGTGTTCCCCTTAATGGATTAAACTTTACGCAGGTAAGTTCAAAAGTCTGGAATTTGTTGTAATATCTGGAAAAGAGTTTGTGTGCGATGATAATTGCTAAAGCAGCGAGTGTTGATTGTTTTGGCGCGGTTATCTTTGATGGTGCTAATGTTGATGTATTGCAGGCTATATTCAATTAGGATGATCGGACTGTTCCGATTTGAGTGTCTCGTGATGTAAATGCGTGCGCACATCGCTTTTCACAAATTGTTATATGATTATTTTTACGATCAAAAGAAAAACGTGTTTTTGACGTTTCCTACTGCGAAAGGGGTGTATAAATAATGAGGACATGGGGAAATTCGCACGATACACAAGTCGCAAGTAAAATTAATCTTCTGTCTCAATGAGTTGTCGGATATTGCCGATGTTCTATTGAATGTTATCAGTGCTGGTCTGCTGATTCTATTCAAAAAATATTTTTTCTGACATGACACCGATCAGTTCATGTTTTCATGTGCTCGCCTCTGTGTGAATTAAAGTTTATTTTCCCATGTACTGAATACCCTTCCGTTTTCTGAGACCTTGGGTGTTCCTTGGAACACGTCCTCTCTCTCGGACAATAGAAAGGAATTTGATCAACAGGCCGTATAATGATTTCAATAGCCGGTAACACCACCCTTCTAATTTAGATGGTATTAGCGCTCCTTTAGAAACCCGATCAACTGGATAAGTTTGGGGCACATAAAGAGCTTCAGAGCAAAAGGATTTCGATTTTCTTGTTCGGGTTCGCTGTAAAAGAGGGTTGGTCGGTAGCGGCGGCGGACAAAAATACGCATTTACCGGACACTCCAGAAAGAAATGGAAATTAGGGCTGTATTACTATTAGCATCCAGATTCGGCAGAAAAGAAAGAGTATTGAATGTCAGATCGGAGGGTTGACTTTCACATTCCCAATTCACGGAACTATTCACGAACTTCTCTCTCGGCCCTTACGATGACCGTCCAAAGTGCACGAGTCTCTTTACGGCAGCGTGCGTTTATATGTCGAATGGAGAATTCATCGCGCCGTGGCCTTGCCTGTTTGCATCTAATTAAAAGCGCGGGCCTTCTCGATTTTGTAATTCTTTGAAGTTACCGACTTTGCAAAGAGAAGGAGACACTGAACAAGGCTAGTGCTATATCATAAGGTCGATGGATAACCGAATAAACGATATAACATGACACTGGAATGGCTTGTATTGTGCTCGAGAGCATAGTTTAGGCGATGATGGAGTCCTATCTTCTCTTCAGCAGAAGATATGAACGAACTCAGTGGCGCTCTGCGTAAAAGACCGCTAGTGGCGTATCCACGATTCCTGTGGGGGGGGGGGGGGGGACCACATTTATAATAATAAATTCTTGATAATTATAAATAATAATTCCCAATAATTAGTAATCCTAGACAAGCTAATGAAAAGCAAAGAGAGAAAAAAAAATCCTTTTATGTTGGAAGGCAAGTTATGATAAAAGATGATGATACTTAATTGTAGTGGCATAATAATGATAAGGATAATGTTGAATATATTTCTCTTCTACTAGTATTGATGATAAATTAATAATATATGATTTTTTTTGTATGATTCTTAATTTACTATAAAGGAATAATTCATAAAAACTGCTTCTTCCCTGCCTAAACAAATTCGGTATTGAGAGCGAAAAAATGTATCAAGCTTTGCATTTATACTTATTTCTGAACAGATGTCTTCTTGACCCCATTTGCCTTGGTGTGCAGCCATGCTAATATCAAATCTAATTATTGGAAAATTGATCCTTTCCGGGGTGAATTGAATTTGGAATTGAAATGCAGAAATACGCACACATCATTAAGGGATCCAGGGTTTGTACATCTACATGTCATACTGGCCAATATTTATGCGTTAATGTGTAATATCAATTTGGAAAATCTTGAACAACCATGAAGATGGGCTGCATGGGCATCATGCTATTTTTCTGTGATTTATCAAATCATGGCATTTTCTCTTTAAAAAAAACAGAATGGCAAAAGTCTGAAATGAATCGAACCAATAGTAAGGGAATTATGAATGTTTGAAATATATGTGAATATCAAATTGGTAGTTTGATCCGTGGATTGTGACGTAGGTCGTAGGACGTGGATAACTCTCCCATTTGCCATGTACAAAAGAAATCATTAATTTCTGTTTTTCTTGTAATTTCCTCTTCCCTTGGGGCACTACTCAAAATATATCATAGGTCGTATATATTATTTATTATATACCTCCTCTAAAAGGAATAGACCCTGTATTCTGACACTATGAATATGACTGACAAAGAAAGCGGACAAAATATACAGTTCCTCAGGTAGACAAAGGAACATCCCTTCACTGCTATTATGTAAAAATGTGTAGAACAGGTGTCACATGCATATTCACCTTTTTACATAATAGCAGTGAAGGGATGTTCCTTTGTCTACCTGAGGAACTGTATATTTTGTCCGCTTTCTTTGTCAGTCATGTTCATAGTGTGAGCAATAAATATTTGAAAAATTTAAATTTTGGTCATCTTACATGTACCATACTGTATATTATGTTAGAACAGATGGGACAGTAGTCCAGCACTACATCACATTGACATTACCGCTTCAGCCAATTTGAATTGAACATACTTATAGTGATTAAAACTTTCAACAATTCATAACTTTCTTACATTTAGTCAGATTTAATTAAAAACTTTCATCAGTTTGCTTCTCTGATCTTTCTGCTTTCTTTTAGAGTACATGTAGTTGTCTCTTTGGGTAGGATTTCCCTTTAAGCATTTGATCTCTCACCAAAAAGGAAAGCACTTTTATGTTGGTAAAATGTGTTCAAAACATATTTAAAAATGACAAAACATAATGTATGTGTACATGTGGACATTGTTATATAAAGATTGTAGGCCTACGTGAACATGTGAATGGGCGAAGACCTTTAGGTGCTCCATTTAAACATTTACAACTGTAACTTTTTCTTAAGAGGTTGAGACTGAATAGGTGATCAACAAGGACAACTTTTCTTTAGGGAAAGAAAATGATCTGTGGCAAAAGAAAATTGCACAAAAGCTTTGAAAGTGTAAAGGAGTGGTGGTCAAGCCCCATAAAAAGAGATCATATTCTTGGGACTCTGGCCCTCTGCGCTTCTGGTTTAAGTAGTTGCTCCTGGCTCTGTTGTTCTCCGGTAGTGATAACCCAGAAAGTGGTCTCTAATAGCCAAGTTTGCGCCCCGTGCAGAATTTTGTTACCTCTGAAATCTCCTTAAATGTCCTGAGGAACCAGTTGATGTTTTCATTCCGCCCCGAATTTGGGTCAAATTTATTTTTGTACGGCCTGGATGTAAGCCTGTGAAAGAAGCGGGGTCGGGGGAAGGTCGGATCTCGCTGAATAGTCGCCTCTGAAAACATGTTTCCCATTTGATCTGTGGATCAACAACTGTGTCATCTTGAATTGGTAGGAACTGCTTCCAAAGCGCTGCCTCACTGGAGGGGCAATCTGTAAAGGAGAGAAGGGAAAGAGAAGAGGTTCAATTCAGAAATTGCCAAGTCTCCTGAACAAGGGAATTAGCTCGCTCCAATAACAGGACATGTAAACTGTGTACACTGAAAGCTTGGAAAATCAAAGACCATTATTAACCAAGACTCAGGGGAATAGAAGAGAAGTAAGGTTAACGAATGAAAGGGGGACATGACCGGATTTTACACCTTCCATCATTAGGTTACTTTGACAGGGCTGACGTTTAAGGTTTGAGAAGAAGAAAAAAATCATTCCAGGTGCCAAAGAATCTTTTTTTCCCTTTAGTCTTTTCTTCACACCTGCAAAATTAAACTTTTTATATTTTTATATTAAAAGCGATCTCCTAATCGTTCATGGTGTATTTAATTTTCCTCCTAAGTATGCTTTGCAAAAGTGTATGAATAATGGTTTTACTTCGGAATGCAATACTATACATATATATTCTTTTTAAAACAAGATTAATCTAACCCAATGATCCCAAAAGAGATGATCATTAAAAGGATCTTGTATTCGGAAAGAGTGAAATGAATTAATGAAAGGGAAAAAGTTTCTGAAGAGGACGACAATATGAAGATATGATGGAGATACAACATTAAAGGAGAAGAGGAAGGTAGAGACTAGAGATTGAGAGGATAAAGATACAACAAAAACTTAAAGAGGAATATAACTACAAATATTTGTTATTTTCTCAAGAGGGAGACGGAGAAGGACAAAATGTGAGAGAAGTAAGTTTGTTTAGAAAGAAAAGGTGCATAAAGTGAATATGGAGAAAGGTTCATTAAAATGAAAATAACACAGATGATGAGGAAGAAGACAAAATTAAAATGCAGTGTGATCCTAGTTGTGTCAAGGAGATTCAAAATCTTCTTGGTTGTGTGTTCTTCCTCCACATGCTCCACCAGTTAGTATTGAGCTAGTGCTGTGGTAGACAGATTAGAAATTACTGACATATTTTACACCAGGCTCCCATGAAGTATGAATGGATGACATGATGCTATAATGAAGTGGGAGTGTGGAGCCAATATGTACTACAGGGTGACTCAATATTATTCAAAGACATCCAGTAGGACCAAGGAACTCCTTGGTAGGACCATATGATATACCGGTAGGGAGTTTAGGGTGGTTCAAGAAAGTTTCAAATGGGATGACACGATAGTATCGATTGGGAGTGTACATGTACATGTAGATCAAAAGAAATGTGGGTGACATAAGTTTGAGTGTGGACCAAATGTAGTTCAGGGTGACTCAAGAAAAGTGGATGACATGATGGTGTAATGAAGTTTGAGTTTGGATCCAGTGTACTACATGTACAGGTTGACTCAATAATGATGATAGATTCATAATATTCTGGAGTGGGGATCCGAGAAAGTGTAGAATTGCTGACAAATAGAACAGGAGGGAGTGTGAATATTATACACATACAATCTTAACCATCATATGCTGTAATGGAGTTGGACTGTGGATCCAATTTTCTACAAGGTGCTTCAAGAATGCACAGACCAGCATTGA